CGCTTAGAGACGAAGAACTGAGACTTATGCGAAGTGCTGCATTCCAAGCTAACCAGATTTTGTTCGGGATTCTTTGGACGGCCTACAGCAGATGTACGGAAACTGCCACCAACTGACACGGAGATGAAAGCCTGTACATTGTTTGAAATTTGGAAGAGCCCATCGATATTCTTGACTGCTATAATTCGTGCCGCAAATTCAGTTACTCCGAGCGAGTTTAACATTGTCTCAGCCAAAATAAGTTTACTTCGAAAACTCTTGAAGCTCGCCAGCATGCATGCCGCGGAGCGATTCATCAGGGCGGTTAAAATGGGGGGGCAGGCGTTTTTGTTTGACGTCAGTCGGAGCGGCCAGAGGCCACTGACACCAATAGTCGCCGTATCCTGCCAAGATCCCGTCGACCGACATCAACTCAAAAGGAACAATACCTCTCTTGCATCAATAAGCAGCACCCTGCGTCCGATGCCTGTTGTGTTAACGGAAGCCTACGAACCTTTCAGGTCAGTAAAACGTCTGCTACAGAGGAAAGTGCCACATCGTACTTGCAGTGCATCCTCTTCTTACGTGAAATTTGGGTATCTACGAGCTACTCCGAGGAGTGTGCTTTTCACCCAACTGCTCAAATATTAGACGAAGTTAATTACTGGAGTTTTCTTGACCTGAAAGCTGATGAGTGGCCTCGATGAAGCTACTTATTAAATCAATTTTTCTCGTATCTTACGGAAAAGGTTTGTTTCTCGTGATCGAAGAATGTCTCTGTTGGTTTGCTTGTGGTTGTCCACACATGGCTGATTTTAGATAGAAAGAATACAGAGGCTCGTGGGGAAACATGCAACTACTGAACGTACGAAATTTGTCTGCTTAAGTTCTGCAGGCAACGCGGCGCTATAGATTTAGTCTGGATGTTTTGATAGAAGATAGGGAGTGAAGTATATAAAATATCTATTCCTTTACTTTTCGAGATAGCGTTTTATTTTTTTTCGTTTTGATTTCATTCCAAATCTCTATATCCGTGTGGATATTTACATTACATTACATATCATGCTATCCCCGTTATATCAACGAGCTATGTTTTTGTTCGGATTCCATTCATTAGTGCGTTTATTAAGAAGGACTACAATCAATAATAGCCACGCAAAAGCTACACATGGAGATTACCAGTTTTTACAAATTTTATTGACCGTCACACTCAGAGACCTAAGGGACCTGCGCCATACCGGCTCTAAGAAATCGTTAAAAAAACAAAAACAAAAATCCTTTTTACAATGCACGCATACATTTACGAGTAACGACTTGGGTTCAAGGTCACATTTACGATGTATAAATTCGATTTTATGCGAAATTACGATGTATAAATAAAAGATACGTAGGGTCAAATAATGGCATCGTACTATATTCTGGTTCGTCAGCCGATTTTTCGCATCTCTCTCTCGTTAAGGGTCGTATTTGTGCTTCAGTTGCGCTTGTTATTTATGCGGAGAGGTGTATCATAAGTATTTTAGCTCTGTCCTTGCTGAATTTTTAAAAATTCGGCAGCAAATACAAATAACTATCCACTGTAACAATTTAGACCAGAGATATATTCAGCGAAACAATGTTATCTGTGTTATGAGTGTGCAATGTCGGGCTAATTCGCATATACATACAAAATGAGCTTCTTGTGAGTAGTTTATTTTTGCACTAGAAATATATCAGCGGAAAGCTAAATATCCACAGGTATTTTTCGACACCCTCTTTTTTGCCATGATTAGTCTACGCCATATAGTAACACGCATAGCTTTCACGCTAAAAAGACGCGATATATATCATATATTATTGTACGAATGGGAACATTCATTGATAGGTCCACTTGTATTATTACCGGACTGAAACATCACATAATAAACTGATATATTTGGTAAATTTTTAGTCATAATTCGTACTCTGTATAGTACTATCAAATTGTTTGCCCAAGGTTGCTTATTTGGCAGCATTGTCTGCAAGCTAATGATTGATCACACAATTAATGGGGACTGAGATGATCGATCGAAGGTGCGCTTTATATGGCACAGCAACACAGCTGTAACGACATTAATAATTGGCCTGTTCTTTTTTTTGCCTCATAAATACCGTTGTGATGGTTTCATAAAGCGGGGAAGAATCAGTCCGAAACAATTTCCCTTGTAGATATCGATCTTACCTATAGCAAACGTATATACCATAAGCCATGCACGCCACATTCTTGTATAGTTGTATTATTTCTAAGCCAGAACCGTTGACAAATATCGGACCGTGAAAGCGACAGTTCGTTTTTCCTTGCTCTAGACTTGCAGGACGGTTTGGCAAGCGTCAGGCCGATCAGTATCAGGTCTAGGTCAGGGCACAGGGACAAGTCTGTCAGGTTTAAAAGATCGTACTGTTTCTGTAGCAAAAAAATTCAATGGAGAAGCTTATTAAACATCCAAGAGTTAGGTATCAACCGTGGATCTAATCTGGGCCGTTTATTAAAATCGCTTAGCGGTCCTTGAGGAGTTCTGGATCGGTGAAGCTCTCTCCGTTTCTGTTCCATGATATCCGCGAAGTCTCCGCCCAATCCACGCCATCTGCTAGTTGACAAGCATTATCCTCACGTCGTTGCGAACCCCTTGCTGTAGCTGCTATTGCTTGATGTCCCGTTACCTCTAAAGGTGAGCCTCATTGACGTCGGAGCCGCTTTGGGCCGTTGTCTCTGTGCAAGGAATCCGACCAGGTAGCGGTTCTTAAGTGGTGTGCATATGCACAGCTGCTCACAATAGCTTTACCGCACTGTTATTATGTTTGAGTGGAAATAAGGCGGCATATTCATATGAGAGAAGGAAACGTGAGTAATAATAGTACACCAGATTTGCCAATGCATCGAAGAAATTACTAGTGATGTATCTCATCATATATGTACTTTTATATGAATCGATCAAAACAAATACAAGGAAGAGAGACCCCGGTCTAACGGGGGTTTTGATGCATATAGCTTTCGGGTGGCTGATAGGAAGAAAGTAAGCCTTCATCAGTGATATACGTACGTGTATTTACGAATGTACATATATTTATGGAATAAGACGTATATATACAACATCATGTGTACGGATTAGGCTAGCCGCACCGAACTCTGTTGCCCTGACCCTTGCGTTTTTCCTATAGCTTGTTCCACCCCCGCTTCTGCGCCACTAAACGCTCTCTCGCTCTTGCAAACGTCCCCAATACCAAACGCCTAATGTTTCCGCTGTCAAAATAATGGCTATGGCAGGGGCTGTACACTTCCCCGGCAGATTTCCGTCAAGTGTCAATAGAACGACAGGCATGGTTATATACATTCACACTAAGCATTGCTTTGAGTGATGTCGGTAGTCCTAGTCTCTTGTGTACACATCTTTGTATTGCACAATCCATCTGTGAGCCAAAACAAAGCCAGCGAACGCTCGCCGACATCATTGGCATTTTGGCGAGAAACGCGACCGATCTGAAGGTAAGTGATTGTGCTATTGTACAGTTGCAAATGTGGCAAATTTTGAACGACAATTTCTGCCAAAACTTGAGCTATCACCATTTAAGCAGAACAGCACGTCCATCAATGTGTACTTAAAATGCTCAACAAGTCGTTGTTTCGGCCCTTGGGATTATACTTTTGTTATTATTATATATACGCGATTACTATGAGGCTGGGATGAAATTACAACGACCGTATTCTCATAGTGCGTATTGCAGTAGGATACTTTTTTATTTTTCGCAAATCTGGTGGCGGCTGAAGTCAGACCTATATGAAGCCCGTGCCTGAAGCCCGTGCCTTTGCACGTGTCAGTTTCAAACTACGCTGACGTGGCTAACAGTTGTGTATCAATAATATGCGCTAATCTGTGAAGAGCAGCGTGTTTCGCGAAAAGGTTTTCGCTTTTTGCTTATTTTACGAGCTGTAAAAAAAAAATCAGCCCCGAGACGACGATTCAGGGAATAACTAAAAAATAACTCTACAACGTCGCATCTATAACAGGCGTTTCAAACTGTTAAAAAAAACGACTGAAATTTTCAAAATCAGTATTGGTGCACAGCTATCGATGGACAGTTTTCCAGGAAAACGCTAGCTTTTTACCTATTGGAATTGGAAAATAGTTGCCGATGGATTGCAAAGCTGTTGCAAAGTTATGTCGCTCACATAGATATCAACGAAGGCTTTACGTGAGTGAAGTTTGAACTATAATAGCTATTCTTGAATTGGGTGGGTTTTGTTTGCCGACGGTTGTGCCGACCTCACCAAAACTGATAATACTTATCACGATGTATGAGTCAGAAAATAGATAAAGCCTTACTTTATTCTAGGGGTACACATGATGTCCGCTCCAGGCACAATAGTACCTCAACTCGGTATAGTAACTCGGTATAATTTATAAAACAATTTTTATGAACTGTGTGCCTTTTATAAAATAAGCAAATAAAACGCATATTTACAGTTCTTATTGTGTTACCGCTAAACATTTACATAGTAGGATTAAACATGAATCTCACATGGGGCTATATATACGAAACGTATTATTATGTTTCGTCATTTTCAGTTTCATTTTGGACTTTCGAGATCAAGATGAGAGCTTTAGCTTCCGGTTAGAACGCAAATTTATCCTTTCCAAGAAATCACTTTTAATCCATTAAACCCATGGTAACACACGTGCCAACGCCTCGGCCCGCTGGGTACGATTCAGCACCGTGCCGTTTCCATCGGATGACAGCCATCGAACGCGTCAAGGGACAGAAAATGAATATGCCTACAGCGCTCTAAAGCGATAGAGGTCTCTCTAGTAAATTCACTCGCTGCGGAACGTCTTCACGCATTTCACCGTTCGCCATAGGGCATTAGGCAGGCCTGCAGATTATGTAGTATAAACAGCCAGCCGGTGGAATTGCAGCGCCGTCTAGCGTCTATCGTTGCAATCTTGCTAGTACTCTCCGTGGAAAAACGAGAATAGCGTACGTAGCGTCTGCTAAACACGCGATGCTATCTGACCGTTAGGCGTTACTTGACCGCTGCTTACGTATAACATGATAAATAATAATAATAACATTAACCTTTAGGCTAAAGAAGAGCGTATGCCGGTAGTAATGGTCGAACGCGCACGAATATATTAAGACTCCCTGAGAATTATGCACTGTTACGCTGTGGCTGTTGCTGCCGGCGGCGTCGTGGCGTGATTGTGCTTGGGAAAAAATCGGATAGTACCGGAATGGAGCGCACACTTTGAGCCTAAAAGCGTTACGATAGCGTACGCGGCTGGTTTTCAGTTGACCGTCACACGGCTCTATACCGGCAATCACTGTAGTGCTGCTGTTATTTTTGTGACTGTTGCTTGCTAAGCGCGATCAGCTGATGATTCTGCTGAATCGAAAACAAGAAGATGAGTGGGTGACATTGAGTTTACGCAGCTTTCGTTCCGTGTTCCGGTTTATTGTCCGTTGGTGTACTTCAGTGTATGGGCATACGTGTGTGCGCGCAATGTAATGGTACTCTGTTGGTGCGATGTTGTTACCGGTTCTGAGAATCGCTGGTCGTTCGCTGTTCTCACTGTGCAGAGCTGATTGTTGACAAAACCGGTGCAATAGAAGATTTTGAAATGTCATTTGTACCATTATTCAAATGTGTTGCAGCTGTGTTCGCGGTTTGTCGAATACGTGAAACACTCGCGAACAGTCTGGCTAGAAGTATATCCCTATGTTCGATGGAAGTGACCTGCAGCCATGGCGCTAGTGGGTGCTAATAGTATCTGGGTGGGGTAAAATGAATTGCTTTCACCTGCTGCTGTTACCACCCTTGGCGGTGAATCCTTTAGTCGTTCCTGAGCTTAGCTGGAGCGAGGCCATTTGGCTGCGCCGATCCTGCCATCAGGACCCAGTGTCTCAGCAGACTGTTTCGTCATCTGCTTCGGCTCGATGTCCTGCACTACAGGTCCGATTCAGTCACTGTGGCTACGCGCGACTTTTTGTGGCCTCTGGAAACGGATGAGGTAAAAGCTGGAGTTTAGGTACGGTTCGACTACTTATCAAGAATTAGGTCAAGTGGAAAGGTCTTCGGGCGTCTTCACAAACGGGTATCGTTTCGTAAACAGAACTTTGGAGCTGAACAGGACCTTCCAAGGGCTTGTTAGTCGGATATGTAAAGAAAAGCGAAGAACTGTAGTTATCCTGAAAATGTGCTTTGTCACGTATAGCTAGGGAACTAAATGTCCATAATGAAATTTAAATTGATTTTTTGCTCTTTAAGAGTTGTTGTCAATATTCGCAGTAGCTTCTAGAATATCTAATCGTATCAACAAAACAGGTGAAATAACCTTTTCATTTTAGCCTGTTTTACTATTCCCCAGGTGTAAACCCTGTGCCTGCCCAGGCATTGTATTAGCTAACAGCCCGCGTTGCCAGCTCTCAGATCTCGGTTTCATTTGCTTGCTCGGCCTCCGAGTGCTGCCTGCAGACATTCCCGACAGACGTGCCCAGAAGATCATTAACAGAGCACAGTCTTCTAGAAGAAAGATATCTTAGATATGTTCTGTCCACAGACACGTAGCAACAAGAGGCTTCGTCAGGAAAGCCCAATGCTTTTTCTACGTCTTGTCCTTCTTAAAATCGAATAAAACCACGGAAACGCCCTTACCTAAGTCTATAATGGTAGCACCATCGCAAGGGCGTGAACAGTGGGCGCTATACAGCGATTAAGCACTGGCATTGGTTTCCCTAGGTCCTCTCAAAGGCTGACTGGAGAAAGCTCAAGCTGCCGTGAGGGTTTTCGCCCTCTGCATCGACTGCTGTGAGCACTGCGTCTGTGACGTTCAGTCTGATTGAACTACGACAACTTCTATGGGCTTTAGACGTCCGCACAGTCAAATCGCACAAATTACCTTAATTCTGCACTGTGCAAAAGCTCGATGTAAAGGTAAAAGCACAAAGGAGGTTGTGCTTGAGCTGGAATATGTAATATTATTTTTACTGATTTAAGGAAAAAATACGTTAGCTGTATTGTGAAAGCTCCGAAGAACATTGAAAGTGATAACAAGGCAAAGATATATGTAAAACATCGCGATTTAGACTGCAATAGTCGTACGTAGCCTGTTACGCTTCGAATACCTGGTGATCATATATTGTGCTATAGAACTGGTATAGATGCCCTTCACTGAACTGTCGATACCTAAATCTGACGTGAAAAATTATACGACAGATTTGGCTTAAATAATCGCGTTGGCATAAATGTTGGCCCCAACTCAATTATGAGGTCGTTTACCTGTACAGCCCGCCAGATACCCTTTACCGTTTGTTAGCGGACAAAATCACTATCGAATTGCTTCTAACAGCCACAATTATGCGTTTTCGCCGGATCGCTCCACTAGAAAGTGAGCGTCGGATTTAAAACGCGCACCACGAAACTACAGTATTAATTCAGGAAGACAGAAAACCGTACTACGTAGCTAGCTGAAGTAGAAGCTGCCGACCGAAGTGGTTCGTTGGCTCATGTGCGCAGTTCAAAAAACCAAAAGCACAAAATTGAGGTCCTATGGCAACGGCTACGCGCTGCTCAGTTCCTACGGCTGTTGGACTAGAAGACCCTTATTACAACCGCAGCAATGAAAACAGTCTCAGCGGAACGTTACTACGAAATCGGAAGGAGCTAGCGCCAAACGAAGAAGAGTCTCTGCCCAATGAAGTTGACGAAATGCTTCGTGTACTAAGTGCGATGTAAGTGGGTCTACAAATTTAACACGCGCGACAAATGTTCCGAAATTCGGTAATTATATTAGAGACAAATTGTCGACATGACACTTCTATTTTAGCGTCGTCATGACGTAATTTCCAGTAGTCGATGGATGAATGGCACGTTTGATATCCGAAAGACAAAGAAATCAGGATTATTTGGTCAGTTTACATGTAGAATATGTAGAAAACTGTATCCGAAACAAATCTTTAGCCAAGCTTTCGTATCGGACATCACAGCCTCGTATTGTAGCGGAGGGTATCTCCTCAAGCAAGAATTTAATACACGCAAGGGTTAGGAACAGATTCGATGAATGAACAAAGCTGTTACGTAGATCTTCTTTAATCCACTTTACTATCCAACAATAGTCCATAGCATCGGGCTGCCACTAGATCTTAGGACTGGGAAAGAGTTAGATACAGTTGTATCGTAAGGTATTTGCTGTTAAGCTTTAACTCAATTAGTTATAGTTTGTTTTAAATCAACTGTTTCGCCGTCATTTCACGTATCTATCACGTAGCCAGCTACCTCATTATTGCAGCGAGACTTAAGACGTTTACCCCTACTAAAGATGCATCTTCTTTCTGTTGTTTTAGAAGCTTCATGACACTGCTTCTAGCCACGAATAAATGACATGACAGAGTGGCGTATTGTGTTTCTATTATTAAACGGCCCTGTTGCGAACGAGTAAACAAGGTTATTGACAGGCTCGAACGTCTTGGTCAAGCGACGTGGCCCTTTACCGGCATGCAAATAAGATCGAGTCATTGGAGACCACGTTGTGGTCAAAAGATCGCATGAAGATTACAGTTGTCTAAAAGTACAGAATGATGGCCTTCAAATGGCTTGTTTACCATCGCAGGTCAGACTCATCAGAGGTTTATGCGTGTAAAATATATGTTGAGATGTGGTATTTGAGTTCGGGAGAACTTTGCTGGCTGGGATGTTTGTCATAGCAACTACGCGTCATCCGCTTCTCAATCTACCAAAGTAGGTTTCTTTTTCTAAAAACCTCGTCATAATAAAAACAATGAACTCTTTCAACGAAAATAAGTTATTACCTAAATATCTTTTCACATTGAATAAACGTCAACGAGATAACTTTCTGAAAAATCCAAGGGATATTTCTGCGAGGCTGCTGAGGAAATTTTCAATCGGCTTGTTCACCTAAAAAGATGACTGGCAGCTGGTGTTTATGACAACATTGGGTCAAAATATTCCGCTGCATCAGTCCGATCGTGTCCGGAACGGCGATATGCTGTGCCTGGACTCCGCAAACGATCTGGTAACCAACAAGATCCGTAAATTCATCAAAAGAATTTTTGATACATTTAGATATTTCATACAGAAGTTAACGGCCATTTTAGAAAGGAAAATATGTTGGGTCGTACAGATCAGCTCTGACGGTTTACACATTTTTGGGAGTTCAGATCATTTAATTCCACTTGAATTTTTCATATGTAACGTAAGTGTTACTCCGCCTATAAATATCGGTTAACGCATGGCTACTTTAGGTTAAAATTATTGGCAGACTGGAGATAGATTGTTCCGAAAATGACTTGAGACCTTAGGTCACAGACGACAAATGAATCGCGACCGTCAACAACAACAATTCTAGTACAGACTTCCTTGTTTGTTTGTCTCTGAAACAAGTCTTAGAAATAAAGGACAAGAAAGTGTAAACTCTGGCACTTTTTCGTATCATTTAGGCCATAGGCTCCATCTGGGCTGGTCAGTTGTTACGTTCGGATTATACAAACAATAGGTCTTGGGATTTAGCAATAGTAAGTGATTAACAGTACACGAAGCTATTTCACTTCAGTGACATAGATATATGATATCGATGTCGTTTACTCATTTGTTTATGTTACGAATTAGCAAGATCGAAGGGGCAGCAGCTGTGGCAGTGCTCCTTGTTTGCCAGATTGAACAATTTCGCAGAACTATTTTCATTACACAATAGTTTCCAACTTATTTTTACAGAATTTTTTATTCTTACAGAATGGGAAGTTTGGCTGGTCGCGCCAAGATTCTTAGCGAGGACCGTGCTGATCAGGACGTCGAGTCGGAGGCCTCCGCGTCGACAACGGTTATTGCTGTATCGTGCGCTGTTGAACAACCACAACAGGGACGTTCGATTTCTTATCGGGTCGGTTTGCCCTCAACGCGACTAGGCTTGCTAGAGCGTTGCCGTTACGAGCTGGCTGCAATGCCCCCGATGATTACCAGATCATTTCTGGAGTCTGATCAAGCACAGCATATTGCCGTTCCGGACACGATCCGAGTGATGCAGTGGAACATCTTGGCTCAATGTAGGTGTTCCATGGGTTTAAATAGGCTCAATGTTATCGTTAACGCCACTTTTTTGAGTAAACAAATAAGCCACTACAAATACTTGATTATAATAGATAATAATAAAATATCTATTATTTTATTATTATCTATTATTAATTCAATGAATAGGCCGAGATGGTGCATTTTCGGCTAAACAGCGATAGACCTTGGGTCTATTCTGTATCGCCGTCTATTTTGTAGAGGGCGATGTAAAGATATAGAGAAGAGATCAACTAAAAGGGGGCGCTCAAAAAGAAAGTCAGCAGAGAGGAAGTATAACAACACATCCGCAATGTCGTTAAGTGTGCCACGCTGCCACGCAGAAGCTTACGCTGATAACAACTAAATTTCTGTTGAATTGTATGTTGTTATCAACGTACTATTTCTATCCTGCTTTTATCATGGCACGGACAACGATGAGCTAATCTGTAGTTATAAGATCTAAGATAAGGGAACTGACGACGATCACTAGTTAAGCTGCCCGAAACGCTTCGATGGAGCACCTTTTATTATCGTTATCACAAAATGACTATGAACCAATGGATAAATAGGCACAACCCTGCCGGAACAAGATTTTTCGCTCATACAAATGTCCAGCAAATAAATATCAGTTCATCGCTCAGACGGCAACTGCTATTGCCCTCACGCTGATTCGGTAATGAAGTGCTACGCTCGGCCTGTTGACAGTTCTATACGTTGGCTTCGTGTGCTAAACACGGCTGGGACATATATCCCAGCAACTTGATAAATTATTCAATGCTATGTTGCATGATTCCGGCACGTCGATTTCATTTTGCCGGTTTATATTTATGAAGTGTACGCAAACAATAGGTCTAGGCGAGGAAATGAGTCTCTATATTCAAGACACAACAAAATTATATAGTAATAAGATTTATTAGTATAGATGAACCTGTTTTACCTGCATTGTAGAGAATAACAGATATCCCCCACCTAACAAACCTAGGTAATGCGCAGACTTTACATCAAAGTCTTCGTTACGAACTAAGCTCTCCATTCTATAAATTAGCCCCCTACACGTAATTCATTTGAGCGATAATCTTCTGCATTGAGTTTCTGCTAGCTTCAATATATATATATATATATATATATATATATATCAATATAGCTTCAAATAGGCAGTCTCAGTTAGTCCTTAGCATACGATGAGATAACATGGAACTTGCTTCACTGTCTTAATTTCTCTCCGGTTTGCCACAAATGTCTGGATATAACACGCGCTAAATTAAATCATTCATCGTCAACAGAGCCCCCTGGTTTCTCACAGATTGCGAAAGATGTTGCCTGACCTTTACCGTGACTGACGCTGACCTTAGAACTTGTGTACACTTCAAGTCGTCTATGTCATGCGGCGTTTAGATGCGACCTGGAAAAATTTTCGAATCGGGTTTCCCGCGTTAAGTATCGGGGTCAGTTTTCTAGTGCTATGCCTAACTGGACTCGGTTGTTTTGATTAGTTGGCGGTAGCAAATGGCGGTAGGCAACCTCGAGTCTCGGAAACAAGTCTCGAGGAACTTTTCTTTAATTATAGAAAACTGCTGTGTACTCCAATGGATTAGTGGCCGCTGGAGTCATGGATTGATCGAAGGTCGCACTTGCGGGCGCTAAATACGATGGGACAGCGTGAACAAACGCATATTCATAGTTCGTACATACAGAAATCGTCTTGTTTAGCGTGTAGTAGATGTTAGAGGCAGACAAACAAAATATGCATTTTGAAATAACGTATTTGTTTCTTCAATTGTCCTACGTGACTTAACGTTGTTGCATAAAATTTGATTTTAGCACTTGCAGAAAAATCGGATAAGTTTATCTGTCCTGACGAAGCCCTGAACTGGAACTACCGGCGTTGGCGTATCCTCGAGGAGGTTCTCACGTATGGTGCCGATATCATTTGCCTTCAGGAGGTCAGTACAGTTCCCTTGAAGCGTATGTTGCAGTTTCAAGATCCAGTATATACAGCCCGCCCGTACAGGCTTGTACTCCATACGCGAAAGGTCTGTTTTTTAGGTGGATCACTTCAATTTCTTGAAGGCGACGCTCGGTCGTGTGGGATTTGAAGGCTGTTTTTTCCCAAAGCCAGACAGTCCGTGCTGTTACATCAAAGGCAATAATGGACCGGACGGTTGCGCGGTGTTCTTCGATTCGTCGAAATATACACTACTTCATACTGAGCGAAAAGTTCTTGAAGTATTCCGCTGTCAAAGCAATCAAGTATGATAATCAGGCCGATCAACTAAGAAAGCAACAATTATATCTGTCACCGATATATTTAAATGTTTAATAGATTTCGTAATTATGATGTAAAAAGTCTAAATCCTAATGCAGATATATTTTTACTGGTTAAGGTGGTGATCATGTGTACCTTCGAAAGAAAGCTTGATAGCAAAGTGTTTTGTGTGGCCACAACGCATTTAAAAGCTCGTGTCGGAGCACTCCTACCGACGCTACGCAATGAACAGGGGAAAGACCTCCTTCAGTTTGTCCAGAGTCACAACACAAATGATTATCCTGTCATCTACGCCGGCGATTTTAACGCCGAACCCACGGAACCCGTTTACAGGCATGTGGCTTAGCACGGTGCGATACCAGTAGCTTATAGAATGTTGTTATGCAAACAATGAAGTATTAAAACGTTCCCTTGCCCGTACGTATATACATATATATACATGTATGTATATGTATATGTATGTATGTATATATATGTATATGTATGTATATGTATATATATACATTACATACATATATATACATTACATATATATATATGTATATGTATATATATGTATATATATATATTCCACTCAATCGGTGTATGAAGCGTAACATTGTTATTCACCCAGTTTATCACTCGTTCTTTGACGGGACCCATTTTCATTCGCTTCCCATTTTTAGGACAATGACGCAGTCAGGAAATTTGTCGAGTAGCTATGCCATGGTCGCTAGCAGATCTTCTGCAACGTCCGCAACTACCGCGGCCACTACACCTGTAGTTGACAATGATGGAAATAACGTTTGCGACTCTGCATCGAACGAACCCCAATACACGACATGGAAGATCCGTGAAGATGGCGAGGTGTGTCATACGATTGACTACATCTTCTTTTCCAAGGATCGCTTCAATCCCGAGCGGGTGTTGACTATGCCTAGCGATGAAGAACTCGGTAAAGGACGAGCTCCATCGCTGCAATATGCGTCTGATCATTTTTCTCTGTGCTGCGACTTCCGACTTCTCTAAATGGAGGCTAAATTAGCGCCTTAATAGAGAAAAATTAGCTGCAAGGGTACACTAAAGAAAAGAATCAGTAATAACATTTTAGATTTTTAAACGTATATCACTACACGGCATTTCGATGATCCTAAAATGTTTCTAGGAGAAGATTGGCGATCATCAACGTCTTATCGGATCATCAAGTGAAAACAAATTCCTCAACTGAAACGCAGGGACTTAAGCACTTCGATGAAGTAGAAGACATGATGAAAAAACAGAACTGAAATGAAGTGAATGCTATTTCGTTAATGGGAGGACTGAATGAAGTGGGCGTCTTCATTTCCAAAAAAAGGACTTATAATAATTATTATAAGTTCTTAAAAAGGGCCTAATATTTATATTAGGTCCTTTTTTTTCTGATGTATTGAAAAGCTGGTGCGGTATTAACGTACTTAGAAAACATATTATGCTAATTATGTAAGAAGCTTTTTTTCAGTGTTGTAAAGCGTCTGACTTGAGAGATTTGAGTTTTATCGGATGTACACAGGTTTCCATTATACTGTATATACTAATAATAGCAAAAAAATAGTGATGAAAAATAGTGAACGACAGATAAAAACTTCTATTTAATATATGCTATTTAATATATGACGACAATAAATTAAGAATTATGTTGAAACGAAAATTTCAACCGGTGCTTTAATGTACCTCTTCGTAGAGATAGATGTTCTAGATAACACGATTATCGGTAAAATCGTAAAGGGCCGGTTGCCATATATTTTTATATACTTCTCTGACCTTTCGTCTGACGTTGATACCACGATAGAATTGAAATTAAGGCCAGTTTAAGAGAGTCCTTTGAACAACCATATTGATTGAAGCTTATTATTCGAAATAATCAACTGTCCGGAATAGTACTATTAAAGAGAGGATTATCGGGACATTGTTAGTTGTTAAGTCCTGCCAGATTACACAATAATCCTGATCTAGGGGGGTCAAAGTTAAAGGTGAAAAACTTAGTAGGAAACTTCTATTTTGCATTGCCACTGAGTCCTCGATCGAATCTGTACACCTTTGGAGACTTAATGGCAGCATGCGACTTAGCCGATTTAAGAAACACTTCAGTAGCAAAAAGAAAGACAATTGACAAAAGGGTAGTCCTTAGCAATCAAAGTGCAGCATTCTAGTTCCTATAGATTGTCGATGTTATGTTGACGCCGTATAGCATCCGAAAACGAAGGAATAGTTACATACGTTAAGTTTGTCAACTATTAAAAATATTTTGTTTGTTTTATGGCCTATTGCTCTCTGACTTATAAGTCAGAGATCAATATGGGCGAAGGCCAAATGTTCGATTGGCACTTATCGTTACTGTCGTGACTATGTGTTTGATCAATGGATCGTAAAAACTGCGTTCCAGCCTCTGCTAAGCTACTTAGCAACTTACTCATGAGTGAGTAGATCCTTAGTGCTTAGCCCCTAGGTTTCTTTAGAGATTTTGGGTCGCGGAGGAAATTCAAACCTCCAGTAGGAGTTCCTACGAACGTGCGTACTAAACCTGTCGATCATTTAGTTGAATAGCATACAAAGAAGAACCTGCATACTTGCCGCTTGGATCGGATGAAGATATTCGTGGACCATGCCATGCTTAATGGGCTCATGTATTTTCTCGCGTACCCTATATACTCCTGGATGCGTTGTGTTCAACTCAATGATAAAGAACTACATATACTGGGCGGAGTCGCGCCTGGTTCGTTCAGGATTTGAAATTCCGTAAAACCGCTAGATAAAGTACAACGTAAGATCCTATGCTATATAGACCAATACGACAAACTGACGTATTAGTAAAATGAAGCGAGCGCACGCTTACGCCGACGACAGGAAAGCTGGTCGGTGATAATTAAGCGTTGACACGAACGATTCCGCCTGCAAATTGCTTACGGGATTGAAACGTATAGATACCACATGGACTATGGCACCATTGTTTCTACTGTGCTTTAAATTGCGAGCAGAACATTTTTCGATGCAGCTGTGTTAATTAATAGAGGATTTTAGAACAATATATAATAATTATATATAAATAAATGAGCAACAGTCAACAATCAAAATTGTCCTGTCCGCTGTAAGGTAGATAAAAATGAATGAAGCAGGGTCCTTCGTGGCCACTCGCAGGCCTCGTTCGTAAATGTCCGACGAGTATCAATTCTTAACCAAATTGTAAATGCTAAGATACTGTAAATAAATATTGTGCATAAACGCAGCTTGATGTGTTCTACAATGACTAAGTAAAACAAACGTTTGTTAAAAAAGCCAGGAGTAAGTCCCACCGTCAGCATATGCTATAAGAGAGATGTAATTAAATAAATACTCAACATGAACTGCTATTATAAGAATTACATAATTGTAGATGCTAACCTGTGGCTTATGTCTCCTTTTTGTGTCGTTCTAGGAACATCTACTAATAATAGTTGTTTTATGTCCTTAGGACAACTTTAATAAAGGCAGACGTACACAGCTTTAGTGGATTAATATTATATGTGCATCAATTTTACAAATTTCAAAATATTCGTACTTGAATCTAATTTAGCGAAACACTGTATAAATTTTGATATCGTTAAAATCAAGTAGAAGGTGTATTTAAACGAGATAGTGGACATTTTGTTTGCTCGCATAAGGTTACTCATATATATGGCCGCAATCCAATGTTTTCCACAACTCCAATATTGCCGGCGCTGCAACCTAGCTATATATATATGTATGCATGTATATATGTATCAGAGTTTTGAGTATTGCAAGGAAATGTACCGTAAAGAATATAATTCAATAATAATCTATCCACATACGAAAAGAAGATTGTGTTATCCTGTTATTCGAAAAGCGGAGTTAACATACAGGCGTGGGAAGTGGGCACCGCGAGTGGCCCAGATGTTTCATTGGAACTAGTCGTGTTTTATTGACATTCTATGCGATCATGCTTAGATACAGAACCAGGTACAGGCAAAGCGGAAGAGGTAAGTAGTTAAAAACTAGGATATATTTATTTGTTTCCTTTTTATTGACTTCACGAGTTGATATATAAGAGATTATTTAATCTTTTGGTATTTGCAGTACACTATATGTATTTAATTCAGATTTAGGGTGTAGGCAGAAGGCTTACGTTTCGAAATGCTAGAAAATAAACTTCATATTTTTGGAACCGAGGAGATCGTACTAATAACGAAAATGCCCGTTACACATTGAGAATTTTTTTTACCTCTTTACTAAGTGGTACTCTGTTGCAGGGATCGTCTGCTCGTGGGATATGTCCGTCGAAATAGCTTTAGTGATTATATCAAGACTTACTCTTCGGACTGCATGTCAATTAACTTAGATATTATTGAGATCAGGAGGTATTCGCGTAGCGGAGTCCTGGAATCACAGGTGAGGCTTCAGGTTCGGATCTTCACTTCGTAGTTTTCAGTTTTTGCAAGGCGGAGCTAAGTCCGTCAGTAGCCAACGTATCTTCAATTGCGTCCCCAGATGAGTATTCACAGTCCATCGAAAGAGCCAATAACGCTCGTGATGTCGTTATTAAACAAAGCCTCAATAAAGCTTCAACAAAGCGAACATTATTTCGTTTTTGTACTGGAACATATAACTGGAACTGGAAATTATAACTGGAACAAAATGGTAAATAGGCTCAGGGCAATATTTTGGTGAAATACGAACCGCGGCAGAACCGAGCTACCGACATGATACGTCACCATAGCACTGCTGAGTATCTTGTCAAAAAGCGAAACGCAAGATACACCGTACAGAGGTCAGGGCACCCCCTAGGGCTTTCATTAGGGCAATGGCCGACTGCCCAGTGATGATTATAACGAGACAGAAACAAGCAGCGCGGAATAGGGGGCCTATATTGTTGACGACAGTTGTGTCCTAATTCATTCTCTAACGGCCATTAAGCATTGGAAACAACAATATTTCTTAACCGTACAGCTTAAAGTGATAGCATTGAGGGCTTTTTGAATTTTGAGAAGGCAGAGTACCCTGCAAGTTGAAAACATCAATTGCCTTTATTGATGGGCCATGCATCTGCAAACAACGTATCGATCATCCAATTTTCGACTCGTTTCGCTGATCAGCTGCACGCCATCAATAGAGGTATCGAATAGGACAGCCTTATTAGAGGCCATTGTAAAACAAGTAGAACAACACACAATTGTAGTATAACAAAGGGATCAAAATGTGCCACAATAAAATGAATCTCTTTGTCAAGCAAACGGACGAACGGTCTAGGTTGTTTGCTGGCGTGTGCTAACGAATTGTTCTAGCTTCATCCACTCTTTGAAATGAAAAAAAGGGGTCTTTTGTGTACGATGAAGGATAGCGACAGTGTTGTCTTGTACACTACGTTTGGTCAGTAAAAAAACCTGCAAATTTTTCGATTGGACCACCTTTCATTGACTGAAAAGCAGACTCTTTGCCATTTACGAACGTTTGATGGCATTTGTTAGTATTATCACAATGTATTGAATCAATAACTTTTTTTTTTCGTAAATCATATTCGCGTCAAGTAAATTATAGTAGCTGAAAGGAGAAAGAAAACCGTGGTACGCTGTGCAATGTCTCGCAATTTTAGGACGCCTAAAAATGAGAAGGCTTTACGCGGAATCATATGTTTGGCTGTATTACTAGCTAGAGCCTATCTCCGGCACCTTAAGCAGTGAAACATCATCAGGTTGCCTATGTTACAAGTTCTTTCTAGTGATTCTCAAAAAACGCACATGAAACCCTACAACATCGGAGAACCCCAAAGGGACGTCACCATATGAGGCGCAAAAAGGCAGCTGAAACATAACACAGCTCAGTGTTTGACGGTACGCCTCGCATTAGTTATACCGTCATATAGAAAAAGCACAAAATAGTCGCTCACCGAACGATGAACACAGTTTCCAGAACCGAGTACAGGGGGAGAAGCCATATTCTGTATCCGTTCAAGTAAGGAAGTGATTTTGTCAATGATAACTCGTTGTTGGCAGCGAACCGTACTAGTATATTTAGCCAGATTGAATGTCAATACGTTCCGCAGACTTACCCTGCCGTTCGAAATTTCAGCCCCATATATTGCCGCTTATTGCACCTATTGCCAATTTTCGAAGCTCAGTAGAGCATACTTGAAAGAACGAAAATGTTTGACAGTTGCGCCTGAATGATCCTGCTTGGAACTAAGGTATTTTGAAACTCTGTTTGTATCTACAATCTACTTATTGTATGGCATTATGTAGAATGTACATGAACTAGAAGAATCAGATCAACTTCATCTATGAAGTCTCTATCTTCAATGATAAAGTGAGGTAGGAATAAACTTCTAGCCATTATGAGCTATGCACAGGCGAATTCAGGAATGGCATCAGCTTATCGACGGTATGAAAAAGCAGCGCTTTCAGTGGCCACTCACTTGCGAGCACTTCAACCGAAGTTCAATAAGTAAAAAATTTATTTTCATTACGGGTTGCATAAACTAAAAAAATGTACCTACGTATATTTAGTTAGATACGATTGATAGTAAAGATTATTAGCTTTATAGATAAATTGACTATAGCGGTTAGATACGATGCCATGGGAATGACAGATTGCAGCGTGTACATGTACGTGTATGATTCCATATGCGGGAATCCTGCATTTTTCAAGACCTAATGTAATTGAATATGATAACGCTTTGTTCTAGACACCTGTGGCGTACATTAACTTGTCCTGGCTCATAGCCTGCTCATAGTTGAAACCAGCGGATTACTCACCATTAACGCATCGTAGGCAGAGTAACACTGTAGTCGACGATGTAGCCAGAAATGACAAAAATAGTAATTCAGCTAAGGACGAAAGTGTTCCAACGATATAGGCTGAAAATTTCAACAAGTATTAGCTTAATTTCCGGAATTGGCAAGATAATTAGCTTCGATATATCAATACAGCTTATAATACCTTTCACTCGTATAAATCATCACGTCTGTAAGCTTTAAGCGTCTATAGTAGATGTAAGCAAGGCACTTCTAGCGGAGCAGGAAATCGACCCGGGTTACTACGAGCAAACGACGTCCGTAACGGCGCAATTCTACAGTGCTGTACGTTCATCGGCAGATGTAACAACTCAATAGATAGCCCATAGGTTTCCAGAAGTTCTTTCAGGTCTAACTGTTATACAAAATGTTTTCAGTTTTTTAACCTGACGCCTCCAGAGTCTCCAATGCCAGAGAGTGGCAATATGACAGAATACAGAAAGCAGAGTATTTGTGTAGGTTGCCTCGTTCTGCCGGGTTATAGGAACAGTCCGGGATTATCGTACCGCCGGCGACACCCGAGCTAGAGTATAGGCCTGGAAACGTTCCAAACGAATGGTTTCACCCTGTAATCCCGTCCACACCCATCACCTCTATTCAAAGCGGGTAATTCTAGCACGCATAAGATCTGGCCTGATCTGGATAGGTCAACGATGATCAGAAGACTTCCAAAACTCTTCCCGCATCTAAACAAAACAAATGATTCAAATCTCAGTGATTGAACGATAATCAAATAACGATCTGCTTAAAAACTACAACTGTTTCCGTAACTCGATCGTGAGTCCGGGTCATTGTTTTAACCATATCTCAAGTGGAATCGGGCGTCGACTCGTTGAACGTCATGAACAAATATATGCGATATTGTCCGCTCAACGCGTTCATTCAAAAACTATCCTAAAGTGTCACTAACGAAAAGCTTAAATGTTATGGGGCATATAAGGATTGCGAAGCAACAAAGCTTTAATTGATCATTTAACTAAACTGGTCCTACTAAAGGCGAAAAAGACAAAGATATATCGAAAAATTAACTAAGCTTAAGGGTGAGAATATACGTAAAACAGTTACAATAGCAAAATACTAGAGGAATATATAATGTGTTATTTCGTTAAATTACCACTGCATGTAGATAATACAGTTAACCTCAATAGCCTAGTCAGAACGGGGGAAATTAAGACATGGATTGCAATGTTTATTTTTATATTGTGACCAAACGTTTTATAAGTATAGAATTCTGATGTCGTTCTTCTCTACTTAACGATACGTCACAGACGATTACTGCATACTACTCCAATCGAGACTTGCCCGATGCTCTCCTTGAGTACTAACAACTCGTACACAGTTGTTTACATTTTCGTATTTTAGTTTGCCTAGCACATAAGGTCCTTCGGGTTCAGCTAAACAATAAACAGTATTAGAATCATGTTTTTTATCCGGTTCTCAGCCTATGTCTCATTGTGTTTTTTGCCTATGAGCCGTTAATTGAGACTTGACAAATGCCTAACAGTTATTCGAAAGACGGCCGCGATCGCTAGTCACCAGCTGAACTCAAGATTTAACTGGAAAACCTAGATTACTGTAAATTTTCTGGAGCTCAATAGCCCATGACCCCATCCCGTTGTGTTGCCCTTCTATCGGTCAGCCAGTCCGCACCCTACCTGAATGCAAAAGGCTGTGCATACTTATATGTGCATTTTCGAAACAAAGGAAACGCGCTATAGAAGACGAGCCCTAAGTTAATCAGATTCATTAAGTCATGCTTACAATATAAGCATATTCTTTTTTTGATGAACTAATCGTTTCAATTCTAACTAGGGTACAAGTTATAGATCGTGAATGTCGGTGTCTTTTGGTTGGTAACTTTAATTTTTTACGAGTAAAGTAACATATTTATCAACGTTCTTTCGACCTGCGGCACAACGAAACCGTTGTCCCGTAGTGTTGAGTTAATCTTTTTTTATTTTTTGCTGCCTCATAAAATTACACACTATAGGTGGAAACAACCATATGATATGTGTACGTTTACACTGATACGGCCAATAAACTTATTTTCAACTTTGCACATTGTTCACAAAGTTCTTGGCTATGATTCGTAGACACATGGCGCACATAAATTTTTAAATATGTTGATACAGTCTCATAGAGGTATATGCACCCCGCTAATTTGTCAGTTGTGCTTAATACATCGTAGATAGTAACCCTTTTCATACACGCAGAATGATATAGGGTTGTTATTTAGCATATATATTCGAGATGCAGGAGCGCCCGAATACAATTGCCCAGGTTGATATGCCCATATCACTACTCAGAGAGCGTCTGGTTGAGATAAGTTTGCTTAACATCTGTCTTGCGTGTATCATAGGTACACACCTGTGTATCACCTATTAGGGTTATTTATATATGTTGTATTGTTTTGCCGATAACGTCTTACTGGCATCATACATCTATTAGATATATTGCAATATGAATTTAAAGGACTAGCTGCTATTGACCGTAGTAATAGTCTGGAGTGCATTCTATGTGTGTATTTAAAACTCGCAGCTCCGACGAGAAGCTAATTCTATGGATTAATAGTAACAATGTCCTAAAAACGGAATTAAATAAAGATCTCTATGATACTAGAAGAAGCCTCATGGAAAACACGTATTGAACGTCTTCTTGTAAGCTTGTTCACGACAATGATACATCGACCATTCTACACGGTTAAACCTATAACACCCCACCGAACGTAAATGCTCATTGTGTAGCCAAGTTTGTTGTAAACAGTTTTAATGACTGGCTGCTCTATTCCTATCGTCAGAGAAACGAGTTAGTGTGAACCAAGTAAACCTAACCTAACTCCTAGTGACGTGTTGGGAGAAAGTTATTTTTGAACGACACGCGGGCCTTCAATCCTTCGTCGTCCTCGTCTGATCCGATATTCTCAGGCGAGAACCAGTTTCTAAAAATAGAAGCGCGAATCTATGGCCTCGAACCTTCTATCTAAACACTTCGCATCGACTCGTTTTCACAATTGAAGATTCTTTTTGTTTTACCTTACAAAGAAGATAGAAACAAGTTTGCAAGCTTCCAACCATTCGCTATTGCTAACGAAATACCCAGTTAAGGTTAGCTCGAACGCCGCCTCGGTCGCATTTCGTCCTCAAGGCATAGGAAAAGGCGCAGATTGACCACCGAGTGATGAGTAAAGATAACACCTAACAAAACAAATCAATTATAACTCAATTGGAAATTAAAGGCTATTGGAAGTCATCGAAATCTTAAACTTTTTTAGGCAACAGTTTTTAGTTCCTTGATGGTTTATATTGAAACGTGTATCGTCAATTTCAGTAATCTTTATTTTACCCGAACTTAATTACACGTTCCTAGCGGATTGAGCGAAACAAAAGTCCAGTTCGCACCTGACATACAGCCAATATTATGGATGCTCGTGCTAGCTGTTGAAATAAAACCAAATGCAGAAGGTCATATCGTGTCATTTTTTCTGTACCTAGTAACCCTAATAAAGCATTCGCATTACGACATAAAATAGTAGATTAGTAAAAACATGTGGATCATGCAGGCTGGCCGCTATACCAGTTCCATTTGGATGCGGAACTTTTCAAATAGGTGACTTTTAGATATCGCGAAACATATTTGTCGTACGCTTCTGTGCATTTAATGCGTGTACATACGTTATTTCATAAAAGCCACCATATACCATATAATATAATCCAAATACCATATACCATATCCAAAATACCATATACCATATAATCCAAATCACCACTGGCATAGTGATTTGGATTATATGGTAAAACACATGTGGTGCGTATAGAGACTCATGTACCTATATATACGCGTTATTTTAGACTCCGGAGATGCCTTCAACTAACATACCTCCTCCATGGAGAAGATAAAGAGACCTGCGTTGATAACATCGTCTCCTAAATCTCATAGTTACGGAACTTTCGAAGAAGTTCGTCCGCCGAGTTATTTGCCCGGGCTCCAGATCCCGATGTGGTGCCACCCTGGGCACGCCAAGATTTCAACGATGTTTCCCCACCTGTGAGCGTCTGTCTTCGGCCGCTAGCGGGTCCCATTTTAGCGGCGTAGTCCATGTCGTCGCTTTTTGAAAGCGACGCGATAGAACCATCTGTGACGCTCAGTTCCTTGTTCGCCTTTGTTACCCAATGAAGTGACTGAAATTGTCATGGAAGCAGCCTATTAAATGCAGGTTGGATCAGAGGCGGCGGGCAGGCAAGAACAAGGAAGGTGATGTTCACGTAATATATGAATGCTAATACACAACGGGTTGATAATTGCAGTAACAGTTTTCGACATGTGTACTTCTGTAAAAGTATCGTATAAGACACCTGTCTATACTGTGACGGTATGTCAATAAAACGGGCTCTTAGAGGAAATCAACGTAAATCTTTGTCACCTCAAGAAACAAGGTTGCCTAAAAAACAGTGTCCAAAGCCTTGTCTAACTTCGAATAATACAATAACATTGAAATGCACGTTTCGTACTTCTGCTCGAAGTGACACAATTGTATTCACACAGAAACAACTACCATTCTTAAAGTGCGTTTCGGGATACTTCAGAACGATGTATGCAGCTCAAAATAGCTGTAACTTAACAGTACTGTAACTTAATAGCTAAACCGTCTCTGCAAAATTGATCATCCATATGTGTGATTACATTTTGCTGTCATGCGCAACCTTCTTTGTCCTTTTTAGGTTCTCCTTCAATTGTCTATTGAGCTATTTACCTTCAATATTCTACCTAGTTATTCGAATAGAGGTTCCGGCAGGTTTTTGTTGATACTCTCGGTTATATTCTCTGTATGAACAAATGCTCGGAATCACCTCTGTTAGATAGAGCTTAAAGCACTTGCCCCCGCTAAGAGTTTTATCAAGGCATGCCGTGCTGGGCTTATTTCTGAAATTCTGTCATTACGTGAATATCTGTTGCTATATTAGCTCACGTAATGTTCATAGACTTACACGGGCCGCGCAAGTTTGTCGGATCTTTGACTCGATTAATCTAAATCTTCACTCACCTACCCATTTGACACGTTAAAGTTGATTCGGCTAGTAGGTGAAACGGATATTGCTAAGTTAATTGTTGAAATCGACGTTGTGTGGACTTGGCTAGGCTATGACGGGCGCGTGTGTGTGTGTGAGTACTGTTAATAATATGCCTTTTTCTTTACGACATCTTGAAGCGCGGACGAATCGGAGTTCGAGGTGCATTAAGATAAGCCATATGATACTGTTTTGCTTCTAACTCCTCTGTTAAAACGAAAAACCAGGAAACGCGACATTGTAGCCGGAGCAAAAGAGACACATAGTTCGACGGACGAATGTTCCCTAGATTAATACGCACTTAATATAACTTTGAAGTGTCAGAGTGCATTCTATTGTGTACTATTGATGTAATACTTGAGGCCCTAAGAAGACTCCAATGAACCCTAGCACAAAACCTGCGCTAGAATCTCTAAAAAAAACAGTGTTGCTCACAGCCAACAATAAGGATAACAACAAAAGTGTTATTATCCAATTAATTTACTGGAAAAATATCTTCTTAATCTTAAATAATCTTACCGTGGACTTGATATTAGCGTACTGTTTGAAGGGTATCGCGAGTCCCGATTTTCTCCAACGATCATATTTTGTTCGTAAATCGTGATCTAGAAGAACCTCACGCGCCTCCTGAAGTCGCTGAAATGCTTCTAAGGTGTGACGTTTTGAAGTGGGATCCTGGTGCTGTTTGTCGGGATGCAATTCCAAAGCACGTTGCTTGTATTCTGCCTGAATCTGCTCCTCCTGAATGAAGCAAACAATTTACGTTCTATTGTGAAGCTATTAAAAATGAAAGAAAACAAACTGTTTTAGGGTGGCTAATGATACAATCTCCATTACCATAAATAATCTATATATCAATTTTCTGCCTGTTTAGGAACACTGAATAAAAACTGGTTAGAAGGTCCCCGTTACAGCTTAGTGGGTAGCGTATATGCCTGGTAATCTGGGACACGTTGTGGTCTGGATTCAAGCTCGGGCATAGACACGCGGTTCATTTCGTGCAGGGAGCCAACTGTATTCTAGAATGCCTATCGGCGATATAGGACGTGAAAACTCGTAGCCTAGAGAGTAGCAAGAAGCGACGATTGCACTTGCATTGGTCCTGCACGAAATCTGATTTCTGAATCTGAATGAAATTATCTTTCCATTGATAGCTTTTTTTAGTAAGCTTTCACGGTAGCTTTTTCTTGTTGCCAGGGAGACAATTTGCAGGCTTTTCTTTTATCCGACCCATTGCGAAATAAGATCGAGCCAAATCGCAGGAACATAATAACTAGCCAAGGTATATAGATATATCAGTGGCCAACACAATATTATTAGACTCATTTTCAGCTGAAGAATCTTGGCTGACCTTTGACATCCCTTTTACAAAACACTTCAATGGTGTTATTTTTTTTTATTGGTTCAAGAACACATCAGGGCAGCAGGGGTTTCAATACAAGCGTTATAGGAGATCTGAGTTAGGGAAGGACTAAAACTATATCCATCGCCTTTTCTAAGGCTCGAGTTTCTTCAAGCATAACCAAAGTTCTTACAGATACAAGGACCGATAACTCAATCGGCTATTAACAAGTTTTGTCCCCAGCCCTTTCCTAGGTGACTTCAATGTATACCTCGCGGTTCGCATCCGAAGAGATTCGATATACACGAACTCTGGAACAGTCTGAATCCAACTTGTGTGACAATGAATTTCCCTCATGATGCCTGAATATGGGCACTAGTCTAGTCTTAAATAGAAACAGAGTATTTTTAGTTGAATCTCCGTCCTCGTCCAGAGTTAAAACAATGGTTGCGTCGATATTGTAAATTAATGGTTGCAGGGCACCCCAGTACATTACTCGGAAAAATTCAGGCTTGTGCCTTGTAATCTTTTCAGTGTGTTTTGCCCTGCATACTTTCTGGCACTGTTTAACTTGTAATTATAATAACAATATTATACTATTCTTGATTATACTTGGTGAAACAAAAATCTCTTGACAGATGGACATTGGGTAGCATATATAGACGTTTACCCCACCCTGAGTCTATCTCAAAATTGTTTGGAAATTGCAAATTACAAAAAAAAATAAGAGTTTGTTACGTGTGTTCTATCATTAATTATTCCTTTTTTTTTGTGTCTTGTTCGAAGCTAGATTTGACCAGAGACTGGCTTAATCGTCGGCGTACGACAAGGCTTTACATAACCATCAATAGCTAGAAATGCTGATAGTTATTACTATTATTATTATTATAACTGAGCCGCCACAATGTGTTTTATCAGCGATTTTTTACGAGCAGCAAAAAAGTAGAAAGCATTTCAATTTCAGGAATTACTTCGAAAGACTTTGATGTCTAAGCCGATACTTAAATTGATCCAGGGAAAGACACTGTCGATAATATGGAAGTATTCACTTAAATCTGTCATATCCATTGACACATACAAAATAACGTGTCCTTTGATATTTAGTATGATATCAAATAAATGCTTGTTAGCTGATAACGTACGCTAGGTTTTAAGCCCCATCCCTTGGGGCAGTGTGGTCGGCACTTTTTACAAGTATCAAGGGAGTTAGTATACATTTACCAGAGAAAATTTTCCAACTGCAAGATGTTCTATCTGTTCGCCATGCATAATATTTGTCTCAGAACAGCAATAGTCAGAAGTAGCCGTCACGCTTGGTCGAGGCGATGTTAAATAAAACATTCCACTAGCGACAGGGTTACGGGGTCTGTAATTATCAGATTCCCCCAAATTCTGCCATAGCAATGGCGCCGCTAGATATATTTGTCGTGCACTAATTTTTCTCGTCCTAAGCTAGACGGATCTTGCTAAACTGTTTTTTATGGATTTTTCTTCTGCTAGGTACCGTGCCAATGATATGCCACGGTGACCACTAGCGAACTCTGAAATTCGAATTAACAGTAGTCGCATATTCGTGGCTCAACATAGCGACGCATTCAACGAGATGCCTACACTGTTTTTTTCACTAAAACGTTTTAACGTTTCCTTGAAGCTTCATCTGCGATAGTAAGGAAATTTGTTAACTTAGGTAACTTTTAACGATTAATAACAACTCGATAGTAGTGCAAGCGTTACTTAACGCTACGAAAAATAACATTCACAGATAAAAAAAAAAATCCGTAAACTTAAACGTTCATTGATAGACGCAGCGTTATATATATATAGAAAGTGGTAATTGCCTAAATTTATAACAGCTCTTCCTATCAAATGACGATACATGCTGTCGTAGTATATATTTTTTTCCTAGACATCTATTTTGAATAAAACACTCAACTGTTGTGTTCTACCTAAGCAATATAATTAAATAGGTTATTACACTGTTCTGGCTGAAAATCTAAAGCTCAAGAAACCGCTGAAATTTTCGATCCTGCAACAGGTTCATACTGATGCCATCTCCTATGATACGCCAGCCTTAGACAAAATGTCAGATATAGATAATATCCTATCACATACAAAACTCTATCGGATCCCCACTCGACTTAGACTTCCAACGTATTTCTTCCTAGTTCCAGTATATACTACACGTATGCTTCAAAAAGAGTATCTATATATACAGATATATGCTGGACGTTATAATGATCATCTACAAAGGATACAATCGTATGATCTGATTCTTTCAGAGCACATTCAAATCGAACTGTGCATCATTACTATCTTCTATCCGACTATGATCTTACATTAGCCGTTTCGTCACAACCGATGATGGCATAATAATCAGTATACGTCTTTGGAGGGCTAGATCCATCGAGAATGTCATTTAATATTGCATTCATGCTGCAAATTTGTAGATTCTTCTTTCGACAATTGGATAGACTACGGTTTGAATCAGTCCTCGACTGACGGCTCAGTTACGGAGCTTTCTACTCGCTCTGCGCGACTGGCCTTTTAAGCTTCCCCGCTATTAAGCTGCACTCCGTTTCTTCAAATAATAGGTAGTTAGATATTCGTCAAGGCACTGACCTCGCAGCTTCGCTCGTCAACACACGATCTCTTAAATGAGTCCTTTACTTCTATTTCTATATGGCCTCGTCTCTCCTCAACAGGCATTTGTTACCACTGCAAACATAGGAATAATTCACCTAACGATATCACTCGGTAGCCTTTAGTTAAGTGTGCGGTCTTCTCCTGTTAGACGGTATAACACGTAAGCTCTTAGGCCTCTGCAGCTGTTCCACATATACAGTTTCAGTACAAAACCGTCCGATAGTCGTCAGGACTGATTTGTTGTCATCCAGTGAAACACTAGGAGAGACTTTCCTTGCCTTCCGATTATCGATATTTTGGCTTTTCGGCGCCAAAAAGACACAGGTGTAAACGGATTTCTTTCGTTCGCGTACTTCTCGTCCTAAAGTGCAACGTGGAGATGCCAGCAAATTTACTGACGCCAACACCGCTACGCTGGTCAGTTCAAGCTTATCTTAATTGCTCATTGTTGAGACAGCACGTTAGCCCGATTCATGCGTCTGGTGATTGCGATGGTATCACATACTGATAGCTGGCGGGCGCAGGGTTTTTTGGGGCAATTAGCCCTTTCAGCGGATTTGTTTAATATTGCTCGATTATTTATCCCACAATTTCAGTCGATATCCCTTATTATACAGGGGACAGTTGGCTGGCACTAAAAAGGTCGCAAGGTTTGTGGTTTACGCAGCGAGACAACAGCAACTCCGCCTTGTGGTAGCTACGACCCTCTTTCCGTGTGAAGATTCCTATAGAGTTGGTTGTTTAGTAAGAGACTCCGTGTGCTGAGCGCTAGCTATCTCTTCTTCTAGAGCTACTCGATCGAGCTCCTTTTGAGCAGGCAGCTCTCCCTGCGCATGATGATAGCTGCGCCTCTTTCCCAACTGCGGCCAACAACGTCAGGGATCCGCTAACTCCACAGGTGGTGTACGTTTGCTCACCAGATGGCGCTGGCCATTCACCGGCGCTAGCGCGTCCTTGATCTCTGAAGATCCAGACGCGGAACTGAATAGGGTCAAGGGACAAGTCGATGACAGAGCCTTTTAGCATTCAACTCCTGTGTCTCTCCAGACACTAATGGACAACGCAACTGTATGTGTTTGCTTTCTTTCATTTGGTTCAGCTGTCGTTAGCCAGGCATACAGATTTAAAGAAACAAAAAAAAAACTATTACAGCATTTTAAGGGTAGTAAAAACAGCTCTAGATTTGATAATGTTAAGGGTATGATAAAGGCCGGGAAATAGCGCATCTGGTCTCTAGGGGCCATAACCACTAATATCATTATTTTTTCGTGTTCATAAAATAAATAAATGCATATTTCTTCACCAGTACAGGAATCATAATCCTACTCACTGAGTATATCGTCATCCTCTAGTCTGAGCTTCCAGTAAATCGCAGCATCTTTTCTTAGGGCCTCCCTTGACAACAACCTAGTGACCTTACTTTCTTTCGTATCTCCATCTAATTTAAGAACCTTGAGCAATATTACTAGCCAAGTCTAAGGGATACAACGTTTATCGTATGATCACCTATCCTCTCCTCCTCTAATACCCCAGTCCCGTCGTCTGCATTGGACTGGTTTTGTGGCGCTGCGTCAATGGAAAGGTACCGAAAGCGGACGCTAGTCAGCAAGGCCAGACGAAGGAAATAGATTTCGCCGCTAAGGTTACCACTAGATATCACTGTAAATCAACCCTAGGTGGACATTACTCCTTCGCGGACTCCTCGAGCTGTTGAGAGAAAGAGCTTTCGTCCAGTTTTGAAACTTTGTTGCTGGGGGCGAGAAAGGTTCTCCCTTGTTCTGTCAGCTTTATCAACCAGCTACCTTTACTATCTGGCCGCTGCTCATAAGGCCTTGTGACACCCTCGGCCCGTCCTTGAAACTCCAATAGCCCAACTTCTCGTCGATGTGCTTTCTTTTCGACGGTACGGGTTTACTTTTGGCATAGAACAAAGCCGTTTTTCTTTATCGAACACTTTAAGGACGGCTGGGATATCTGTGCCTCTGGTAGATTGCTGGTGATAGATCGTCTCTCGAGGATCCGTTCTGACAACAAGTTTGACCCACTGCTTTCCTTCAGTGTCGCCTTTCAGCACCCCCATCTTCCTGGCAGCAATTTGAACAGTGATCACCGATCCCAAATTGAACTCGGCACCCAGAAGCATTAGGTTGGCAATTCGATTGTATTGATTACGAATTTGCCATTGGAAGGTGGATATTAGCTCAACAAAAAAAGGAAAGGGTTGCCAGAAAAGCAAGTCACGACGTAGAAGAAGAAGGGTTAGGCCAAGGTTCAGAGTTTAGGCTGAAGCCCAAATAGATAGAATTCACCCAGTTCAGTGGTTGTTGGTCGGTTTCGATCGCCCGAAGATGTGATCATTTTGATAGCAAGATAAATATAATACACACTTCAGCGCCAACAACAGAAAAGAACTGCATATATTTATTTACTTATATACTGCCCTAAGCTTCCTCTCTGGCACAATGTCAATGCCTAAACTAATTCAGAACGGCTTTTCTATACTACTGCTTCGGTGACAGGCCTGTGTTTTTTATGAGACCCTGTAGAATAAGAAAGCTTGTTTATGCATCTCATCAAAATAAGGCATACAATAAATCGACAGTATTCTATATAATTACGTTAATAATTAATGTTATTGTTATTATTATTTTACGTGTAAGTTGTTTTTATTGTAGTATTATGGTTTTTCATGTTACGTTGGCGTATTTTAGCTCGGTTGTTTTAAGCAAGCCGTCGCTTAGTAAAGTTCCGCAATATGTGTCGCTGGCAGGACTCGAAACATCATCTTTTAGCCCTTATAAACAAGAGACTTGGCCATGTCGACTGAGGGCCTCTTGCATTCAAGACCTACACACGTATATTGTCACGATAGCGTAATGTATGTCGAATTCATTTTAATGAGCTAAAAGCTCGCATTAATTAGACCCAAGCGGGCAGCACCAGCCCAAATCAGTACACCCAGTGTGAATCTGTTAGATTCGGTGATTGGATATACTCGGAGGCGTGCGCGAAACCGCATCAGCAGCGAAAAATCAGCGCAGTAATACTCTTCAATCTATTCTAAGTCTATCCTGAGACAGCTAAAGGCAGCGAAGATCGATGTTGTTCATAGAGCCAAATGAGGGACGCTCGTCTACCCTAGGTGACAGAACGCTTTTAGGCGTCACCGTTGGCTGACCTCAAGAAAGAGATTAATTGCGATTCGGATAGGAAAGCCGTTGCATCTATTGATGCATGCATGTCTAGGCCGTCATTTTACGAGCGACAAATAGTAGAAGATATCAATATCTACCAATGGTGTCTGTAATATGAAACAATGTAGAGAATTTGTGTATAAATATATGTCACAATTATATCGTTACCGTGATAAAAACGCCGTCTTCTTAAGCATCGATTTTAGGCCCGGTTTCCTCTAGTTGCGTATTACCAATAAGGCTGCTGATTAAATTGATAGGACCTTTATATCTGCCGCTATTTAATCGAACACACAGGGTTAGCTGTAAGGTAGATAATTTGTCGCATTAAGGGACCAGTATAGCGTCCAAATCATACGTGGACTATGAATCAGGTTCATAATTTTTATTTCCCATTCCTTAACAAAATACATCGCCAGAATGTTTAGATTTATAAGTATGTAATTCAAGTTTTGCGTACGATACTTAAATTGTTAGGCATTATTTCAAATGGCTGGCTGACAACACGAAACGAAGTGCCTCCACACTCGCCCCATGTTTCGGAAAGAAATCTAGGCCACGATCACTGATAGAGTTTTGTCTGCTCCAGACGCCAAATGATTTATTACGATCAAACCTAGCCTGCAAGTAAACCTTTCTGCGCCTGTATTTCAAGCTACCTGCTCTAACCGTTGTTTCATCATCTTCTACTAATCATACAGTCATTTTGCAGTGAAAATGATTGAATAAAACTTCATTGTACAAAAAGCAAGCCGCCTATTTGAAGGACGCTTCGATCGCTTGTACTAACGTCGCAAACTTTAATTTTATCCAACCTTCACCTATTCCATCAAAGACCCATGGCCGTATCAAAAGCCAATAATAACAACGAAGAGAACCGGAGTGTAGGGCAAGGGCCACAGCACGGTTATTCTCCTTATAATCCTACAGGATTGGCGGTTCTGACTGCTTAAAAATGACCTGCCATTTGAGGAAGTCAAACAGGCTAAGCGGAAAAAACCGTTCTCACTCCAAAAGAGCCTGCCTAAACCCTAAATAAAACCCGCTCGTTCCTTAAAAAAGGAATGCGTTCTTTGCTTCAGTTAAAGCTTGAGGAGCAGTCGAGCTTTCGCCAATTAGATTTAGAGAACAACGCCCTCTAACCGGTTTTCCATAATTAATTATCCGAGAGTAAAAAAATCACATTTCCGACGCATATGTCAACACTTAAAGCAGGCATGCCCGTGCGCCCTACATGTAATAAGAAGCCTATGAAATTAATTATTGCGTTAACGTCCACAGGGCGTCAAATCGTTCAAGAAGACAAAAGGCCAACTTTTTTAAAAAAAGAGGGTTTTATTACATACGCCCAAAATTTCTCAAGACTAGCGTATGCATTTGATGCATGTACCGTTTAATAAGCGCATGAAGTGGCCATTTTGTCCTAATTTTTTTTATTAATTTTTTTCGAATAGGAACATTTCAACTATGCCTCCAATATATAATATTAGTGTCGATTAACTTCAAGCTATTTGTGAACGCAGCATCTCGGAGGAAATTTTTCGTTTACTAAATATTCAAAGGTGAACCTTGTGAACAGATTGAACGTAGCTTGAGTATCACTAATGCGTTCAACCCATCCTTCATCCCGATGGCCTCATTTCAGGACATCAAAGTAAATTGTCAATGAAAACAGACCAGCTTGTCATTCCAACAACCGAAATTAATTCAAATAGCGTAACTAACCTACTTAATGATTTTATGTTTTACCGTGTTTCGCCAAGTATTTTGCCTTCCAACATTTGACCTGCATTGAACAGGACCAATAACTAGATATGCGTGTTTGTCCTGTTTGGAACATGACCATACAACGTCCGTTCGGAAAAGGAACAGTGTACACATATAGACACAAGTATGCATTTCTGTCTACGTACCCACAACTGAGTCAACAATTTGAAACTATGCTAATAGAACGGCACTATCTGATTGTGTGATTCTTTTGTTATTTATTTATCTGATTTATTTTAGATATTTCTTAATAACGCTTTCTCTCTGGTCCCCATTTGGCATACGGTTTTTTTTCACTGGTTTGGTATGCCACCAGGAAACGTTGACAGTCATGGCTGACCTACTTCAAGTGATTATCACCCGAGTTTCAGGTAAGAGCCGACTGATAAGGCTGCCTGCCTTAACGCTAGTACGTTGTCTGTTATACGTACAGTTCCGTTATCAGTAGGTCGATTTTAAGGTTTCTGGGTTTGTTTACACCGGAGAGAAACGAAAAAAATATTGTGTGGTCTATTTCCGCTGGGAAGATCGAAATCAGCTAATCGTAAATGTGTAGTAACGTATACGTTAATCCAGTACGACTGCGTCGAAAACAGATTACAAATAGTTATAGATAATAAACATATAGCTGTGAAAATAGGTGTAAATAAAGGAAAAAACATCGAAAAGAATAAGGGATTAACGATCGGGAAAGACTTCATTGTGGCCAGATGTACCAGTAGCCAAATTTATTGACTTGCAGTTGTGTGTGCAATATAGATATTTTTTTTAATTCATTCCTTTTCTTTTTGTTACTACCTATGTTCGCAACCTGATTGGCAACAAAAGAACTGTTG